ATCAGGCTAACAGGTATGGATAGTTATTTAATAATTTTTTTTTAGATTTTGTTTTATAGACACAGTTACTAGTTTGCCACCTCACAAACGATGAAATGCTAGGAAAAAATCAGTTCTCACGAGGGGCAGAGAAGAAATTTAGTAAAGCAGGAGTGAAAAATAATTACTTTTAAAAATAATTTACAATTGATACCTTTAGCATGAGTTAGCAAAATGAACAACTGTGCAGATCTCAATGTTCCACGGACTCAGCAGTAATAAAATTGGAAATCTTTAATTTAACTAGGAAGGTTCTTCAAAAAATAAATATACACAATGCATTTCCTGACCTTGCCACCCTAATGCAAGCAGAATTCTCATGGACTCCCACAAGAATTGTACATTGTGAGATGACTGCAGGATCAAGCCATACAAATGCAAAAATTACTGCTTGTCAAATGATTTCACTCATGTTAATTCAAAAATATTACTGTTGCACTATAACAGTTCCTTCAGCTTGTAGTTATCATACTGCATGCAAAAGCCTACATATACTAACTGATGCTCCAATTCAGAAGATAATTCTAGTGCTTAAGTGGGACTTCAAGCCATGATTAAGTACTTTCTTCAAAAGGGATGGGCTTAAGTGTATCCTCAAACGCATTCCTGAACTGGGGCTCTTGAGTTTTTAAACCTGCAAGGTGCTGAGCATTATCAACTCCTCTTGATTTCAGCACCTCTCAGAGTCAATTGCAGAGTGTCTTGCTCTATTGGAAATGCTCATTTGATTTCCCCAGAGTATAATACCATTCACTCTTTGTTTTGAGTTTTGATCACATGAAAAGAAAATAATTATAATAAGCTAATAAATACTTTGCATTGGTATTTTTCTATGAAAAATGTTATTTTTCCAGTTAATTTGTTTTCCCCATTTTCAGATAAAGTATTTAGGAAAATTAAAAATACTTGGATAAGTTTATTTTATGAAGTCAGACATTTTACTGTTTATGATATACTGATACTAATCAAATCAAAATAAAAATATACCTGGGTAAGTATAAGGTTAAAAATTAAAGATAAACAATGAATATTAGTCAAGGTTAAACTGAACAAAGGAAATATACAATATGTTATTTCGAGAAATGACAGAGAATCAAATAATGGAGGGTTTGTTTGTTTTTTACCAGTGAATTCAAATAAGAGCAAGTTATGAGGTGGGCTTCCATCTAATAATGTTCTTCATGTTCTTAGGACCCATAGGTTGGAAAGAAATAAGTGTAATAAACTATTTTGTAATATTTGTAAAGTCATGCAAAAAAAAATCCTTTCAAACCTAACTTTATTAGTATTTATCATTTGGCCACAAAATTGCACGCGTGGTCAATTCAATATATTTTTTAAAATAATCATGGCCAAATGCCAAAACAGTAGTTTTAGGGGGAGTGAAAAATATTTCTTTGAATTTTTCATTTTGAAGAAGGAATATTAATAATATCTTAAAGAGTTGCACTTGAATATATTACTTACAAAATCCTGTTATTGTTTTTGTTTTGCACAGGACATTAGCTACTTTTTTCTACATATATAGTGAATTTTTTTTTTGGAATTACTGATTAATTTGATAGCACTTCCATATTAACGTCAAGTACCATGTCTTTAAATATCATGTAATTATTCTCCAGTATGACAGATTACATGAAAGTATTACGAAGGCATGTGCTTAATATCATGGGAATGAAAAGTTTAAACAAGAAGCTGTGGGCCACATAAATACATCTGCTTCCACTTAGAGTTCATAATACCATGGATATCACCAAGTAGACCCAGAGTAATTACTTTATTTTCTTGCCTTATGAAACAGATACTGAATGGCAATTTATTGTCTCCTTAAAAAGATGCCAATCCTGCAGACATCCGGGGCTCCTATACACATGCAAGGAGGCTGCTCTGATTTGCAGTAATTTCAGCGTGTTGGAGCAGACTCAATTAATCGAGTCTGCTGGAGTATGGTATTTACCATGCTCCTGCAGACTCCAGCGTCACGTGTATCAGCATCCTCATGCTGAAATGTGGCGATGGGGCACTTTAAACCAAAGTTTGCTCAATGAGCTTTAGTCCAAAGTTTCCTGCCACCATTTTCCAGTGCAGGGATACTTCGGGTGCTTTTAGTTTGCATGGCCTTTGGAGCTGTGCTAATTAAAGCATCCTCCCACATCCTGGAGCATGTCTATAAATGCCCTCAGACATATGCTTAATATATATGGGTATCAAGGGAACTGTACAAAGATATGTAGTTAAATGCACACATACTTGACTCAAATGCACGCAGTTAGACATATGCCTTAGTGTTTGGCTTAGTGTTTGCAGGTTGAGGTAATAAAAGCCTAACTTTTAATATTTTTTGAAGTGTAGTGGGTAGTTCCCAGTAACTTGACTTAAAACTTTTACATAGAAGCTCAGCATAAAAGCTGTTTTATTCTAGTATTTATTTGCCACCATTTACAGCAAAATACAATCCCAATATTTCTTATTTGTGCATGTGATTGAAGTCAATGGCAGTTCTTGCCCATTCGATTCAGCTGTCATCTTGTGGGATAGTATGTTATACACAGATAGAGCTAAATCTCATTTCACATTTATGCCCATGATTGGCTCTTACGTAGCTGCATAAATACAACTTTTGGGCATGTATGCTTGGTCTTAATTCTAATTCTGATATCTCCTGGATCATTGTGGCAACAGCATTACCTCAATTCCACCCAAAAAGGTGGGGAGTGGGGGATGGTTGAGCCCACATCTGCCAGTTCCTGGCAAAAGTGCTCTAACAACCTAGGAACAGGTTAGGAAGTGTCGAGGTCTTCAGCCCTCTCCTTGAAGCTGGCAGCCAGGAAGGGACAATACATGGGGCCAAGAGGATGAGGAGAGGAAGTTCCTGGGGGGGAAGGACATGATTCTGAGATGGACACTGACCTGGAAGAGAGAGCGCCCTAGGTCCCTGGCCTCTATCCACAGCAAGGCATAAATTATGCAGCTTCTATTTATCCATGTTATCCACTGTATATTCAATGCAAGGTATAGAAAAGGTCGTGGGCAAATGGATAAAGAGGAGAGGTAATGCCAAGCCTACAGCCTGATAGAGTGCTTTGTTGTGAAGTAGGGCACATGCAGTATCTTCAGGTACAAGCCTATGTGAACGATCCCAGCTTTTTGAAAGTGCCAAAAAGTGCACTTTTCCTAGCTACATGCAACCCACTTGCATGCTTAAAAGTGAAAAAAGATTTGACCTATTATGCATAACAGGCCTGGGTCTTTTCACACTTGTAGTACATTTACATCAGTGTAACTCTGTTGTGTTCTCCCAGGTGACATTCAGTTTTTTATTTACAGGGTGATCAGTAAATGTTATTTAAATAAATTTAACTTTCTGCACAGAGTTTCTGCATAGAGTTAATACTTCTACTTTATGCCTATTTATATACAGGTTTTGAATGTCTGAGTACCATCAGAATTGCCAGCTCTTTATACTGATCCCACTGAGGCATAATTTTACTCGGTGTTCCACAATATTTTTTGGCATGCCAGTATCCAACTTCATTAATTAATGTTAGCTAATTGACTAGATTATTATTGTGGAACTGTGTTGGCCAAAGGGAGCTGGTCTCCTCCAGCATGCCAAATGTTTGAAATGTCATCTGTAATTTATAGTTAATAAGCATGTTGGCAACAGATGACCAATTTGTTACTAGTAACATTTTCCCCCTCTTTCCCATCTTTCCGTCCTCCCAATTTTCCATTGGATTATTTTTCCTGTTTTGTCATTTGTAATGTCATTGGATTTTAACATAATTCTAGAGAACAACTGCCAAAGGTAGTCAACAGAGCAGCTTGATTAATTAAAAAAATAAAACCATGCACCCAACAAGGTGGTTAGATTCATATATCCTGTTTTTATCAGCAGCAATGATATTTGATGACACTAGTGAAGTTACTCTGGGTCTACGACAGTGTAATTGAGATTAGAATCTGATTCTTAAATTTAAAAAAAAGATGTTGAACAACAGAAATGCCAAAAAATGAGCTCTGCCAGCACTGATCTCCTATCTTTGGAGGACATTCTTCTGTGATGCTGGCCCAAAGTTGAGCACTGATTTTGTGGCTATGTGAAAAAAAAAAGATTTGAAGTTCAAGAATGGGAAACTATTTCTATGTAGTAATAATTATAAGAGCAGATGGGATATACCCAGTCCGTGGTTTATTCTAGTCCTTGACCAGGTGCACACCCATGAGAAAAATAGACCTTTAGATGTTGGGCTTGCATTACCATTGCTTTATCTTCTATCCACCAGCCTGGGGACAAGGTGAGCAAAGTAGAATGAAAATGACAAAGCCTAAAGTCAGCTGAAAGCAAGTTTCATGTGACCTTGTTCCCCACCTCAAGATTATTATTCTGGATTATGTGAAAGCTGTGTTAAGTACACTCCCATCAGTGCAATGACAAATACCTTTTGAAATTACTATATACTGTTAAATAAAGGAAGACTATCTTGGAAATAAGTGCATTTATATAATATTAAAAATATTCAGCAATATTTAAAGTATTAAGTAATACAGATAAGCATATTTTAATCATTTAAAATAGATTTTACCCTGATGGCATATTGATTTATCCTTACTATACAAAACTTTCTATTGTTCATTAAACTGTCTATTGTTCATTAAACTGTCTAAAACATCCTTTCCAGAATGTGATCTCCATTATGGTCACTTAAAGAACATAGCATTTTCTTCCTCTATATCTTTTGCTTCTTTTTTTTTTCCTTCACACCATTATAATGTCTCCTTGAGATTATGTAAGGAAACAAATGGGTAGATCTGTTGTAATTATATTCTGTCTTCCAAATGCCATCAATAGAAAGTCTTCCTTTAATCTTAACACTGGAAATGCTCCCTTTATCGCTACTAGTTGAATTATAGCTATGTAGACCTGAATCTGGCATATGTGTGTTGTCTTGTTTCTGCAGACTGTTATTGTAACCCTTTTGGTTCAGTCCATGATCGCTGTAATGACACAGGATTTTGTGAGTGTAAGAAGGGGACATCAGGGCCTAAGTGTGATAAGTGTCTGCCGGGATATATCTGGCACAGCTTGGGCTGTCAACGTAAGTAACTCTGAGAGCTGCCCTTCTCCTGCAACTTTGCTGCCTCTGCTTCTGTATGCTAGCATGTGCAGCTACCTAGAACAGAAAAAGCAAAACTTCTACGAGCTTTAATAATGCCATGCTGCCTGAAGCTTTATGGAGAATCCCAAATGAGGACAGTAAATTTACTGTGCAGTACATTTATTTCAATATGCTTTTAGTGCCCTCTCCCCTCTCTATCTGCTAACGCCTAAAGGAACTTGTACTGAAATATGCAGAACTGTGCATCTTACCAGCTATAAATTAACTTGTGTGAATGAAACCACCAGTGGAAATGCTCCAAATTTGTAAATTCTTTACAAAAGATAAAAGGTGGCTTTTATCCATGTCAACATATTTCTTGCACTGAACTCCTGCCCTTTTGAGTAACCAAAAAGTCTGAGTTAATAAATACTGACTCCTTGCCTAAGGTAGTCTTTGAGTCTAAACGAAAGCAAGAGGTGACAAATCTAGAGATGTTTGAGTTCATTTAGCAAGGGACAAATATTAGTATCAAGGTTAATATTAACTTCAATACCAGGTGTTCTTCAGTGCTTAGCTGTACATTAAGCTTTTCTGGGTAGCACAGCCCTCATAGACATTCAAGTGCAAATACTGCCCTCAGAACAGGCTGGGCAAGAAAGCTTTTATAGCAGATCCTTAAAATTCTGTTCCTTATATCCTTTGGGAGTTCCTAGTAACTCTTATCTGTTCCTGATAGCTCCTTTATTTCTGCAAACTTGAACTTTTTTTGTTGTTGTTTCTTTCACCTTCACTCCCTTCACTTTAGCATCCCCACTGCAATCACTCATACATGTAAGAGCATTTCTACAAGAAACACTTGCTTCTGGTTGCAAGTTTTAGAAACTCATGAAGGACAATAAACATTTCAAGAGAAAAAAACTTTAAAAACCATCAAGAAGTTCAGATAGAGCAATGATAGTTGCTGAATTAGAATTTGTAAAGTAACATAGGTTTGCCACAGAGCCACCAGATCTGAAAGATGCATTCATGGCAAACTTTTTATTCAGTGAATCAGGCCTATTTCTCCATTTGTGAATTATCCACAAAGAGTATTTATTTTAAACATGATTATTATTTGATACCCGGTTTATGCAACATACTTCATTATATCAGATGGTCACAAATTGTTCACTTTATTTGTTGCTTTGAATATTGGTTATCCATACATTGTTTCATGCATTTGATCACCTTAATCTCACACAGTGAAAGACTAGACCAACTGAAGTAAATGGCAGTTTTGCCATGGACTTCAGCAAAATTGGGATTTCACCGATAATATTGTTTCAGCTTCATGTTAGGATGACTGTGAAATGTCAGAGAATCATAGAAAGACTAATGTTGCAAATATTTGCAATGTTTCATCTTTCATAAAGATACTTTTACAAACCAGAATTAATTTCTCATCTTTTTGGAAAATAAAAGGAATTAGGAACAGTGTCAAATTAATTAATAGATTTTATTCCAAACAACGGTTTTCCAATATTTGTGCAGTATCTGCTCAGTTCCCACATTTTCAGAGCCTAAAGCAAAATAAATACAAGACAATTCATATGGCTACATTAAAATGCTTTGGGGTGAAATCCTGGCTCCACTGAAGCCAACAGCAAAACTCCCATGAACTTCAGGGAGCTAGGATTTCACATTGCAATCATGTTTGAGAATGGAAGGCTCCCATCAGGCTCTCCTGTTGTGTAATTTTTTATCTCCCTATCTGGTCTTTTAACTTCTTTTAGTTTAATGTATAACAATTTTGTACTCTGTGGCTAGAATTAAAATGCATATAGTGATATTCAAATGTATTTGGGCCTGACATCACAGGTTACATGAGAGAAAAGTGTGTTCTCTTATTTATATTTTAATATTTCAGTCATTTTGACTCGTGTGCATGACAAACATAAGGGGTAAAAAAAAGACTTCAAAGCGTGAAGAAACAGTGGTAGCCCAGCACTTCAGATTTAAGAATGGTTGTTAGCTGTGTTTGTCTGAAGTTAGGAAGAACGTAGAGTAGGATGCCACCTCATAGAACAACTTATTCAGAGAGGCATGAGCTTTTGTAGGCTACATACAGCCTACTTGATCTGATGGTATGTATGAACTTGCAGACATCAGGGATACAAAATAGAAAGGAATATTATACCCAAGCTCTAGCAGACAAACTCAGGATGTGATTCTGAGGGATCTGGTGTCAAAAACCCTTTTATTACATGCACAGAATGAACCTTTTCTGGGGATGGATCGGGATTGCATACTCAAGTAGAGGCAATCATCTGTATGACCCTGCTTCACTGGTTGCAGAATTGGACAATGTGTAAGGAATGAAGCAGGATTGCTGGTAGAGTAGGGTCTCTCAATTACGGTGGCTGAATGATAATCCTAGAAAAATAAGTTTTCCCTTGGCTTCTGCAAGAGTGCCTTCCTGATGTTGGACAAGTAACTTAAACCTGCGTTCAGTTCACTGTCACTAATAGTGTTCTTCTCATTTTGTGAGTGCCTGACCTGAAACTCTGAGACCTGATTTGCAGAAGTGCTGGGCAGTCACAGCTGCATCAAAAGTCAATGGAGTTAGGATTTTGAACATATAATGTGATATATTATACTGAATGCAGTGTATAATCAGGTTCTAGCTATCTCCGATTTGGCGTGCAAAATACGTGGATACTTTTAACCATAATCTCTATGCCTGGGTTGCTTATCTGTAAACTTGGGCTGACCTTACACTGATTCTATGAAAATAATATTCAAGAAGCACTCCAGTACTGTTGTGCAAGGTGCCACAGGAAAATTCAAGAGGAAATTCATAATTCTGTAGTCAGAGCAGATTTTGAATAGCGTGCAGTAAATATAGCAGTGGGTCACATATTTAACAATGAGGAGGAAAAAAATGAAGGAGGGGGGTCTATAGAGGGGAAAAGACAGGTAACCACAATTTAAGACAGTAAAATAAGAAAATACACTCTAGATGAAACTACTGTAAGGTAGGTAAGCTGCTCTAAGGCTACATAGCCCTGCTCAAAGATGAGTCAGACACAGCTCAAAGTCAAACCAGGAGAAAGTATCAAGTGGACTTCCCCTGTAGTATGTTCTGGGTCCAGTATTGTCCAATATCTTCATTAAAGATTTGGAGATTGGATTTGAGTAGAGTAAGTAAATTTGCAGTTCTCTCTGCCACTGGAACTGTTTAAGTGCAGGACAGACAAATATTTGCCTGGCATGATTTCAATAGAAATGATCCTTCTTTGAGCAATGGATTGGACTAAATGATCTCTCAAGGTTCCTTCTGTCCCTCGTTTTATGATTCATTGGTTGTATAATCAAATATACATGCCAGGTGGCTGAATTCAGGTTACATCTTCCTTATGGTATTTCCTACATTTTCAATTTTGCAGCCTCAATAATGTTCTTTTCACACAGGGTTTTTGTATGTAGAATACGGTTGGACCACCATTTGTTGAATCAAAATCCGTTAAAAAATATTTAAGAAATATTTAGTAGCAGTACCTTCAGATTAAAAACATTTATTCAAAAAATAAAAACAATACATGTTTAGTGAACATAAAAGAAACACATACAACATCTCCACAAATTTTCTCTTCAGATCAGATTTAAATGTTTTTGGCTGTAGAATGGACATTAGATTACCATATATTTAATATATTCAACTATGTACACACTGATATAAATGTACTTTTTGTATTTGATGTTTCCATCTGGAGAACAAGATTCATGATCTAGTTGCTATTTAATGGGTTAATTAAATGGATCCATTTTTTCACTGAATTTTTTTTGGAAATTTTTTTTATGATTTTCTTATTTACGTGAAATTACATAAAAAACAAAATGCTACATTACCAAGATTCCTAAGGATTATTTGCCTAAGCTTTGTAACATGGTGGTGATCCAGTTCCCTGTAACAGTTTCCTTTGAACCTTTATGGTACAGAATATTATACTATATTTTAATAAATATATAAATAAATAAATAATGCAATATTGAAACTATTATGCAAAACCATTCAAGGGGTGCTTTTCTAGTATACAGCAATAGACCTAATGGAGCTAGAAATTTGACTATGCAAATATATATCTAAAGTTGTGTTTGTTCATAACGTAAACAGTTAAAACATCCATATGAATTTTATTAGTAAATATGTACATGCAGAATGGCTAAATTCCAAATTTTAATCATCCATTTATTCAAAATATTCACAAATGATTGAGTGTTTTTTAAGGTCCTGCAACATTTCCTTTTTAAAATTAATGTCCAAACTGTACCAGAGGGCAGCACAGAAGCCCAGATTCTCAATGCATTTATTTAGGCATATAAGTCCTATTGATTTCACTTTTAAGGGTTTGCACTAAAGAGCTCATCTTTTACAAATCTGTGCATGAAGGAACCAGATATAATACTGGCTCTTTTGCCATGAGAGCACAAATACCAACAGTAAGTTGTCTCATAGAACTGAAGGATTTCACTGCATACTCATAGCATTCAGCAGAGCTGGAGAAAGTTCACTACACTGGGTTAAAAGGATGCAGCAGATCTGACTACTGATTGCACTCACCTCAAGCTCTCCCATAGGAATGATTCCTACCTCAGGCATAGTGCATACAGGAAATATTTTCATTGCTTAGCACATCACATCCCTCTACATATCCCTGTCCACACATGCACACCTCTCTCTCTTACTCACACTACCCCTCTTTCCCACCACCACCAAAAAAATGAAGGTAGTAAAATAAAAATAATTGCTGTTTGTGAAGCTACAGTATTTCAGAGTTTGGAAAATATAAGAAAGTGACAACTCAGTAGACGTTCTTTTCTTTTCAAATATGATAGTATATTTTTACAAAATAAACAGTCAAACTAACCACATCTTTGCATGTTAGGACAAGTCCAAAGTGAGTTCTTAATGCTTTGTTGTAAGAGGAGCTTGCAAAGGAATATGGACAAATATGCAC